CGTTAATTCGAATTTCTCTCACTTAAACTAATATGAATAATAATTTTAATTCTTAATTAGTCAAATCGGAATAAAAAATCGAAAGGTTAATTCCCAATTTTCATTTGAATTAAAGATTTAATTATTTATGTACAACCATGTTTGACCATAATATGAATGTGACCTTATCTATTTAGAAAGCATGTAATTAACGTCATTACTCCAAACTACATCCAAAAAATAGCTGAAATCTAAGCGTCTTCATGAAGTCGCTGATATTGTCGTGATCGAAACCGAAACACGTTGAATACCTCGCGCATAACATCGTCTCTCAGAATGTAGTTCCACGTGATAAGAGCGCAAGAAAGGTGCAATAACAAGCATATGCATAACTTTCTAATGCTGCAGTAAAGATCGGCACGCAGCTGCGAATGAAAAACGTTCAGGGATTAAAGTGCACTGTCTGGCCAACAATTTCTGGTATGTCCGAGAAATATTCACAGTAAATAGCGAAATGCTATCGATTACGATTATACGAGAAACAGAAACGAAAAATTCTCAATAATTCCTATATACAATTTTTTATTAGTTTTAGAAGAAGTATTTAAATAATATTTTATTTAAAAAAAAAAAATAGAATCTTTGAACTTCAACAGAGACTTTAGAAAGATTTCTAATAAGTCTCTAAGGGAAAGAGACTATTTTAAATGATATTAACGCAACGATTTCTGGCTGCTAAAAAAATGAAGCCGATCGACACGTTCTGGGTGCGTGGTGCGGGGCATTATCATTCCTGACACGACAAAGCTGCCGATAAAGTGCTGGACGTCGATAGATATTCCAAGCAACAGCGCAGCGGTTTCACCGGAACGCATGCAGCTCGTTGCACCAGCATGGCGTGCCGGTGCATATATTGTCCGGCCGCGGTTAAAATACGAGCACGTTCCAAGGAAGTGGACCGGTGAGCTTTCGATAGCCAAGCAGGTGGGTAGACGAGACTGTTATCGAGGAAAAATCGCGTGGAAAGAATCGATAATGCCGGCGCGTACGACAACGCGGCACGACGCGACGATACCGGGACAACGCGACGACTGTGGGACAACGCCAGATAACTAGTATACGCCGAGATTATCGTATTAGCTCGCCGCGCGTAGAGACTTTAGGGTTCTTTCTAGGAAATATCTCAACGTTCCCAAGGTCGACGACGGAGTGCAGCGTAGTTTCTCGTGCAACGGAGTGCACGCCGATAAGGGGATAAACACAATCACGTTTGAAGCGACTGATACACGAATACTTTAAACAGATAGCTACGGTGGACGTAATGAGGTAAATGATAAGTGAAGAGATGTTTTACGGGAAACGCGAATGTGATAATTCTTTTTTCTTTTTCGGAATTTATCGTTCCAAGAATGTCTACTTGATCTGCTGTCACTCGCCGCGAATATTTTGCCGGGCAAAATATTCATAATAAAAGGCGAATGATGGAAGAAGGAGTAACGATCGGGTCGAACCGAAATAATTTCAGATCGGTTTAATGAACAGTTGCCAAGGTTCGTAACACCGATAGATGACAGAAAGTTGGCAAATGCCAGTGGCTAACGGAAATGGCACCGGCAACGATCGCGTGTACACGGGCCTACAGCGATTATTATCAAGCATTTAATGTTGTTAACAGACGTGAAGCAGTGGAAATGTGCCGAGATAATGCGTCTCTTCCTCCACTTTCCATAAGTGTCGCTTTCTGCGTAACGATAAACGTAATCTTACATCATCCACGCTGGCTTTGAGAATACGTAAGACATTAGTCTCGCCGAGTAATGAGAAAAATCTGACGAGTCGACAAATGGAATGTTGAACGAATGGTGTACAAAGAAACAGCTGAGGTTCATCTGCCATTTCTTGAAACTGAAAGTTTTCATGCACGTACATACGTGCGTATGTTGTATGTTGCGTATATGAATACTATAATGTAAATTTCATGCATATCAATTATCAAGCAATATTTCCTCTTTTTCACTTTTAAGGTGACTCTATAGTTTTTCAAAAGTGTTAGGAATCAATTGAGATATGAAAAAAGTATCTGGCAAGTTTCAAAACCAGTTATTATAAAGATATTTGCGAAAATAATTATTAAAATCGAGGGATATAACTCATGCTCTTATGACAGGGGAGCTCGAGGAGAAACGAAAGATTTCTTATCGATAACGATTTCAAGAGATTTTAAAACATTTTAAAAAAGCACTGATAGATTAAAGTCTGAACTAAATAAACAGACATAATCCTTTAAACTTTTGAAGTAATAATCGTTAAGACAATCGAAATTATCTGTTAGATAGAATGCTTTAGAAACTAAGAATGATTTGGTAACATTTCGAAATCTGTTATTACGAATCGGTTCGAATTTCGACTCTATGTAGTTTGAATTTAAAGTTTGCCAGCAACATACATGTTTTCTAACATAGTTTATACTGAAATAGGGTATATAATGAAAATAAGAAAGTATTACTACTTTTGTTTAACATCTTATTTGTCAATGATTCTTGAGCTTTCTCCATTTTAGAAATACCTTTTCTTTTAGCAAACTTTCCTTCCATACATCCAAGCAAGATTCTCTCTTCATTTCCTTATATTTAATAAACTTCTTGAAGTCATTATGTAAAATATGAAACTAATGGAGAGAAAACGGAAAATTAAATTTTGCGTGTGTGGTTTGACAACATTGTCACGTCTCTCTAAGTGTTCACAATGACTCTAAAAAAATATCTAAAATGAATAATCTAAATAAAAGAATGAATCTAAAAAAATATATTTTACAATTTTCTATTATTACTAATACAAACATAAAATCAGTTTTAATTTGACAAGAATTCCTAAAAATATTATAGTTTAATAATAATTTAAAATATTAAAAGTAACGTGTTCTAAAAATATAGAATAATATAATTTTATCTTTACAGCATGAACACAAACGTTATGTTAATAAGTGTTACTAAGGATTGATCCTACTTTAACTATCGTGAAAATACAACGTTACCAAAAGAACGAGTTTCTCTTTAGGTCAAAAACATGTTCAGTTTGACTGTGATGCGGAACACAGTATTTGACACACGACAAAGAACAGTTTTACAAGATATAGAACAGGGTGGTTCGAGCCAGGTAGCATGAATTAGTTCCGTGCCGAGGAAACGTAACGTAACAGTATGAAACGAGAGGCCAGCGTGCCTCCAGCGATGACATAACATCACTACTACACACCATCTGCATCAGAGCTGGCTCATAATCGCCTACGTACTTATGCTACCCTCACATCGAGATCATTGCCTTATCGATGATCGGCCACGCCACAAAACACCTTCATAATTGCTATAGAACAGCAGCGACCCATCGATCTTCTCGTAAATAAACGAACAACAGCCATCGTTCTTTAAAGTCTTCGCGAGGATCGAGGGTGTGTCCGCATTCGAATGATTGCACGCATACGCAAGTCTACGAGAAACCGAGAACTATGCGTCGTATCGTCACGGAATCGTCTACGTGACGTACGACGATATTTTTCTTTGGAGATTGTCATGTACGCAATTCGGTCAGAAGATGCGAAGTTTATCACGCATCATTGACGTAGATACCTAATTCTTATCCTCAACGAAAATGATTTTCTCTTCACTTTTTTCTATCCACAAAAATGGTTTTTATAATAGAAGCATGCCTGATAATAAAAATAGTCGACCAATTCTCGTGTCCAATTGCAGAAGCGAGATGGAAAATAAGCTTGGAAAAAAAACGACGCTACGTCTAGTGGAGACGATCGGTTCGCCACGTGTAGCGTAAGGACGCTCGCGAGCGTTAACGAGAGTTATCAGTAACCACCCACGGCCCATAAAGTTCTCCTTTATGGGAGAGAAATACGCCGCGGGAAGATATACACCGATCGCACACGAATTAACGACGGAACTGGAGTACCAGGGCTATGCGCGACAACGGCTCGCTCGTTCCGAGCAAATTGCTGACGTGAAACTGCCATGAAACGCAGCGATGCCGCTAAATGGTTGTAATTCCGAGTTAACCACACACCCGGATCGGTTCGCCGCATCTGCTCTGCACGGCCAGTTATGTGCATACATCCGCGTTGCAGCTGGCTAGGAAAAAGAGAAAACGGGTGTATCCCGGGCTGGCTGGCTGTCAGCCGAAGCGCAGGGGGCGAATTAATTTCGACGTCGCTCGTGTGCACGAGGTCATTCACACCGGGGAAAAACGATGGGACCATGTTTGGGTCCCGTGAATAACTGATCTTTAGACAAGCCGCCTTCGTTGTATAAAAAGTACGCGATGAAACTTAAGCTTGTCCTGGCTATAAGCTAACGCAATGACAAATTTTCGTAAGAAATATTATTATGTTAAGCTCAAATGCCTAATTTGGAAGAATAAATATCAAAATCATTTGGAGTTCTTCACACAACATTTGGAGTTCTTCATTTGGAGTTCTTCACACAAATTCGTGCAGCTTCATTACCATTAATATGGCTACGTATATTTGATTATAAGCATATATTTTCCCAAATCCGGATTTTTATATTTATTTCGATTCCACTTCATCGAAGTAGCATTAATGTAAAGTCTCAGAACGACTTCCTATAAAGGCACAATGGTCGATTATAAAAAGTGAACCTACAAAACGAAACTCGGGACTTGTTGTATTAATCTCGGTGCGGGGTTCACCCGGGGCCGAATAAATGTGGCTTCTTTCTTTTTCCTTCTCGTCTTCTTCCTCTCCCATGGTCAAACTGGCCCGTCTCGCCTCAGCCTGTCGCATTTTCAATTTGCAATGCTGATAAGATGGAAATACCCCAGCGGATTTGTAAGTCGAGCGCCGACGTAATCGGCTTCGTCGCGGCGAACGATGAAAGCGATCCAGTCCCTCCTTGACGGCCATGTAATTTTTCGCGATTTTGTTTTGTTTTCGCGTGGACATTTTTTTCTTCTGCAGACACCAGGAAGACCGAAACAGAGCAGAAAGACGAATAGCCGGCATCAGCCTGATTGTTGATTATAATTTCGATCCGTACGAGTGAATACGTAATAGACCCACGTGGAGGAAACATTAATATCGCATAAGACATTTCAACAATTTATTTGAAAGTGGTCAGAATAATGTTCTACTATAGCAATACTTTGGATGGACCAAATGAAGTACATCCAAACTCCAAACTGGCTTATGTAACAATCAGAAAGTAAAGAGATTTAACTTTCGTCTTCTCAGAGAGTTACCCAGAAATCTTATATAAGATCAAAAAGTGTATTCCCATCAGCTCATGTTTCTAGCCAATTTTGTGAGTAACGCTCTTCTATCGAAGTTTATTTCCTCAACGACTGCAATTTGGACAACACGTGATCATACGAAAACTGACGTAAACTTGCACATATTTTCGAGCAAAATTTTAGAGGAACGCGTTCCGGGAAACGGTGAATTCAAGTCATATACTGACGCATCGGATTCTTCCATTCATAAAGTCGAGAGTCGAGATGTGCCGCACACGCGCTCGCACACGTGGCCACTATCATACTTTATATACCAACATCGTTACACGTTGAAGAAATACACTACTACATATACCACCGTACGATTGCACTTGGATTCAATCGGGTCGAGCACTACTCGTTTATCAATGAAGCCACAACAGACTAAACTCGGATTCCTAGTTTTCGTTACTGTTAACGATTTCAATTGCTGTTTTAATGACATGACTTTACACGATAATTTATATTCAGGTTGCCCACGTTGATTACCAGACTGGCAGACAATTAATAGAATAGTAATTACTACCCGACAGTATTGAAATCGGTATTTTTATCTACCGATCGAGCATTGGGTGCATTCAGTGGAATCAATAGTTGCGCAACTATTGAGTGATTTTTCGCTCAGTTAGAAATTCTCAACAAGTTCGGTGAAATAGACTGAGACACGGAAACTGATCACCGTTCGGTTCCCAACATGTTGGACAACTGTTGGTTCCGCTGAACGCACCCGATGCATAGGCACTGATCTTTTAGTAGTGAAAGAGGAACTTTTGACTCGGAATTTCATCCTCTTTCACACCCTCAGGGGAAAGCCATGCATTCTGGAATATCCTATATATCATAATCTCTTAAATACCAGAGCAAAAACATGCAAACTATGGAAAATATAATATTAATAATATTCAAAATTAGTAGAAATATTTTATCTAAATAGTAAACAAGAGGAGAAGTATAAATAAGATATCAGTCCTTTCTGTAATTAATTCATGCTCTTCTTGTTTCTTAATATGTTTCTGTCATTAAAGAATTTTTACATCTTCATTTTCATAGCATATACCAAACTGTTATTAGTATTACTCGCGTAGGTACAACTTTGGCAGTCTGCATTAAAAGGCTTAAACGCCTGTTCGAAACACCTTTGCATTCCTTTCGCATTCCTCAAAAACAAGCTCCCGCCAAGAGAATTCTATTCGTGTTATACAACATTCTACACGCTCGTCCCGGCAAGCGTAACATTAAAGCGACACGGGCTAACTTACAGGTCTTATCATTTCTCAATACGAACCATTCCAAGCTAACAGCCGCTTCGTTTACTATATTCAGATGAAAGTATTTTAATTTATTAAACTATGTTTTGTACCCCACCGTTACTGAATTTAAAAAGCCCTAAATTGCGATCTTCGACGCTGTACTTGATTACACATAATAATAATAATGATAACCAATTTTTATTAAATTTTCCTTACGAACCCAGATTAAAAGTTTTGTTCTGCTTTTCTCTTAACGCTATACCTTAACTAAAACCTGAACGACTAAACCTGATGTCTTGAGACCAAACCAAACAAATTGAAGCTGATCATCCAGAATTCGGTTCGTCGACGGAGCCGAAAATTAACGAGATACGAATGTAATTTCAGTCCGTCGAACGCATCCGACACACCCAGCCGGATATACAGCAGTCCCACAATACAATTCCACCCACACAATCGCATGCTCAGTTCCCATGTGTGGACGTGGACAGCACGGTGCAGCACGAGCGAAAGACGTAGTCCTGCACACGCAGATACGTACGCACACGCGCGCGGTAAGCCAATGTGTATGCGTACACGTGTACGTGTACCTGGCTGGGAGGCCGAGAAATGAAGAGTGAAAGTACTCAAAGAGGAGGAGCCCGACATGGCACAAAGAAATCATTGAGGAATTCGAGGGAACGACATTACGGTCATTGGCCGGCGAAGGATTCTGCATTTCTGGCAAGGTTGCGCGGCCGTCGAAGTGCAAGGTTAATTTCGGCTCGCGCGTTAATCAAGCCATTGGACACAAGGCTAACTGCGTTCGAACGCACACGACACGCTGATAATGTTCTTGATATGGTTGAATATTAATTTTCGATCGCGACCCTCGGTGGTCCGTCATTAAATCGTTATTAACCCTGCGTCAACCACCACTACTCCTACACGTGTATAGATCATACATACACAGTCTTTTCCTACTTTTGTTCACCGATCGTTTTTTCACATAAAGTGAATAATATTCTTTTATAGATATTAAGTATGATGGATCCACATATTATGTAGCTAAAGCTCTGCTGCTATTATTTATTTATTTAAGGCTCTTCCTAATTATGGACTCAAGGTATCAAACATGTATTGAATTTGCATTACGTGGTTTGAAATATTTCAATACACCATCACAAATTATTTTATTTATTATATATTATATTTATTATTGTTCATAAGGAATCCAATATTGTCTTTTATCGAAATCTTAATAAAATGTTTGCAAGTATTGACCCCGATAGTCAATGGAAACGAAATTGAAGGCCAAGGTTCAATCGCAAACGTTCATTGAATAAATTAGCAATCACGCATTCGAGTCAAGCATGTTTGTGATCGCCTACTAACAGCTAATTCTCGGTCACCGAATCCGGTAAGTCCACCGGATACCCTGGCCATTCGTTATCCTAATTGGGAGATTCTTTCCGGATAAAACCAGCCTTTTTTATACACGACCGTCGATTTAACTTGGACCGTTGCGAGCATAATGCCGCGTATTATCCAGTTAGCGATTCTTCGGCCTGTTTTCTCCTATCGAACTGCGACCATCGTCGAATTAAAGATCCCGGGGCACGCTCCTTCCTCGACAGGGGCTAGGGCGCACTCCGTTGTCCGATTGTGCCGATGCAAGGCATTTACTCAAGCTGCGTTCACCAAACTTTGATCTTCGGGCTCTCTGATCTTTCTGATCGTTCTTGCACTCTACATATCTATCCTTTTACGTATCTTTATGATTTACATAATGTGAAGTCCATCATTATTCGTGCACCTTACAAAATTGAATAA